CCTTCAGATGCCACCCAACCGGAAACCATTGCTGCTATAGAAAGAATTTTGTCTAACCCGACGAGTGAAAGTATCTTAACTTTCTAGGGAAGTCCAAATAGTTGGAACTGTTGGAACTATTAATCATGAGCATCTTGGTATGTCCAAGGTATCTGCAAGATGGGTACCTAGAAACCGACGATTGAAAGTATCTGAACTTTCTAGGGAATTCCAAATATCAGTTGGAACTGTTGGAACCATTAATCATGACCATCTTGGTATGTCCAAGGTATCTGCAAGATGGGTACCTAGAAACCGCAGAGCTCCATCAGAGAACTGAAAGTTGTCGAGACCTCCTGGATCTCTATACTGCTGATGAAGCCGGATGTCTTTCTCGTCTAGTGACAGGTGATGAAACATGGATCCACCACTGGGACCCAGAAACTAAATTGGAATCCATGCAATGGAAGCACCCCAAGTTTCGCACTCAACCATCGGCTGGCAAGGTAATGGCCACCATATTTTGGGATGCAAGAGGCATGTTATTTATTGATTACATGCCACCTGAAAAGCAATCTATGGACAGTATTATGTTAATGTAATGAAAGAATTGTGAAAATCTATTCGCCAGAATTCGCCAGGACGTTAACGCGTGGTATGTAGTCGAGAACTGCACAGGCCGCCATATGTGAATGTGGATTCGAACAGTTAAATCACCCACCCTACAGTCCAGATTTGGCCCCCAGTGACTATTTCCTGTTCCGGCAAATGAATTCTGCACTACGTGGAAGACGCCCTTAGGATGACGTGGACATAAAGGCTGCCATAGAGGCGTGGTTAGAGGGCTAAACTGCGGATTTCTATAAAAGTGGTATTAAAAGCTTGAAGGACAAATAGAATAAGTGTATTGGGGTGATTGGAGATTATATTGAAAAATAAAAGTGCAAAAGATATTCTGCGACTTGGTCTTATATTGAAGTTGCCCGTATTTACCTAATCGAGGTCACTGACTGTCAGAAGGCACGGGTGGCCCTGTTGTCTAACGTGTAGTAATTCGCTGAGTTACGTCCCTTGGGCACGCCAGACACCTATGATCCAGTGTCGCCCCGATTATGATTCTGGGTTTGTCGGCCACATACCCGTGCTCGTGGGTTTCTCCAAAGTAGTAATTGTCTAAGACCTGCATCAACCCGTGCTACTACCCACAGTAAGGTGACACGTCGTGAACTGGAATACTGTACAAAGCGGTGTTTAAACCAACTCATACAATGTTGTTAAAGCGGTGGATAAGGGGCTGCTGATCGTTCTGTAGGGTTTGAGCTAGTCTCTCGCCAAAACCCAAGAGAATAAATTAAAAAGGAATCCAACCCAAGTCTAAATTGCAACAGATCCTGAAATTGTTCTTGGCTTCATTTGGATTTTATTTATATTTTGCAGATATATCTTTGTTTCTTGGACTAAATGTTAGTCTAGGTTTGATTCGCCACCTTGGGTTCACAACGCCCCGTTCCACAAAGCCTCGATTATCCAGAATATTAAGTCACCATTTCATTATGATAAATACCCTGAACTCAATCGCTACCGCGTCCCATTTCGAATGGCACGACGCTAACAAGAGGCGTCCAATCAAATTACTCACGCGACAGAAAATTTAGATGGTGGTGTCAATTCCAGTTTGCTCCCAATATACTCTCAATATAACGGTTGTCTATAAATACGCGAGGTGTGAACCATACTATCAAGCAATTGATGTCATGAACATCGATCTACGTCAATGGGATACGATGACATGCATCAAGTGAATCAGCGAGCCTGACCCCCCGATCCCGTTAGTCGCCTCTTACGACATTAGTCTATCTCCTAGACCCTAGAGAATATTTCTTTTAAAAAAGAGTCCAAATGAAGTCTTGAATGATTTGGCAAGTCTAGCCCTGAAATTAAGGATTGTTCTGGGCCCCTTTTGGGTTGTTTTTATTTTATTTTGTAGATATATATTTCTAAAACAGACTATATTTCTGGGACTAAATGTCAGTCTAGACAAGCATGGTTGTAAGTGAAAGTACGGACGTAACACAGTCACAATGCCTTTGTTTGTCAGCACCATGTCCGTGTTCATGGGTTTCACCAAAGCTGACAATATACACCTGTGTTAATTTGAACATTACTACAAACTAATACGTCGTGATGTAATTCAAGTATTTTTCAAAGCAGTGTTAACCACACCTGATATCCTGAATCAGTTCTGTTTCTTACATATTTCACAACCTTGCAATGAGGATACGCAACATAATGTTCTATCTAAGTATATAATATTCTTATTCTTCTAAAATATTCCTTTAAGGTTAATGAATTTTGTCCACATAGTTTCTGTTAAAAATGTTGTAAAGAATTCATTTTATGGGGGGCAATGCTCCAATACTAGTATCTGTTGTCGATTTTCTGTTCAGGAATAGACCTTGCAGTGGTGTGCTTTGTGTGAGATTGAGACATATTCTAATATGCATAATACAATTTGAATTAGCAGAAAGAGAATGTAGTGTTTGATCGATCTGAATAAAGCTTGCTGGGGCTGCCAATTTGCTCAAGCCGAGTAGCCCTTTAACGATTATTTCACAAACCCAAAAGACAGACATTGATATAATGTTACGAATTCATTATTTTATAATTGATGATCGATTGTCACGTAACATGAATATGCCATGGCACGTTTCTTGGTTATTGATGTATAATATTTCATGCATTGATGCATGTCAGCTTGTGAGAAGCTGTCTTCAAAATTACAAGAAAACATGCACATTATGAAGCAAAAACATCCCGTGAACAAATGTCAACATTGCATTGGACAAGAGATTTACCATTTTCCTTTCCTGTAAATAACTGCATGCAGATATCTAAATTATTCTTACAGATATAATACGAACATGACAGCTCATGCTCCATCCTCAAACCCCGCCCAAGGGAGTGTATGTCCACACAATACCTTGACTGCTGACCTACACACCTGTTGTCCTGCAGATAAGAGCACCGACCCTAGGGGAAAAAAACCTATAAAATTCGCCAGCGTTCAACGATCAAAAACAATTCTAATCCTACCATCAATGTGACGGAATTTGCTTAGAACAGAGGCCCAGCTACATGAAAGCGTATGTGCTATCGATTTTTACCATTAATGATACATATTTACCTCATTGTAATCCTGGAACAAAGAACTCAAACTACATCTTTGTCAGCTGGTCACGACACCTGACTCCCTCAAAGACAAGACTTCATGCATGGTAACACAACGTTCCACTTCACACACCGTTGCTGGCCTTATGCGACCTCTTGTGCGTGAGGTACCTTACAATACATGGTCAATGAGGTTGAAGAATATTTTTAATTTCTTCACAATATACGCAATGTTTATTTCAAAAGATGTATGTTCAACATCCGTGTCTATTGTTCTACGGAGAATGCTGTTGCTGTTCGTCCGGTGATGTACAATTAAAAAAACAAAATCAGCACATTGTTTTAAGACAAAGCTGGTGATGTGTCTATACGTGTTGAGTTACAGGGTAGCTTTCTTGTTTAGTGTTTGCTTGGCCATGCCTAAAGCCGGTTTGATTCCTACGGGTGTATTATGTGTGAATTTCCTTATTAATCGTTGTCTCCTAGATCGTGCTAACAAGTGGATAAAAAACTCAATATTTCCTTAGATCTGAATATAATAATATCGGTGATAGTTTTCGCATTTTAACAATGTATCTGTATATATGTTAGAAACAGGATACGTCTATGCTTATGTACTTACTTGTCCAACCATTACTGGCTGAGGTTCAAGTGTATCATTACTGGACCAATTTTAATATTTACATATACGATAGGATTGGATGTTCAAATTACACTGGCTAATATCACTGACTACTGAATTGTAAGAATGTATGTCAAGGCCGGGCATGGATGGCCGAGTGGTTTTAGGAGCAGCATGACGCTGCAGGTGCAGTTGCGTCCCTTACATATGCCAGGATTCGCATGTCGTTTCTTTCGCGATGGACTTTATACCTGCTCGGGTATTGCAGAATCGTTCTGATATTCTTAGATATTCACAAAGAGCAAAGCATACTTCACTTCATTTTAATTTTTATTCCTAGAATATTTCTTAAATCGTTCATCAGCGAATACACCACCTCAGTTACATGGGGCTCATCTACTGTCACGCGTGTCATTAAATCAGTCCTGTAGGACTTGACATATGTTATCTTGAAATAGGAGCATCACAAATACAAAAGGTCCCATGACGCTATCTTACCGAGGCGAAATATGTACAAAAACCTAAATTTTGTTCGTGATTGCAAGCGGTTTCAAGAAATATTTAAACTATACACAAGTGCAATAATCTTGAACGCGACGTTAATCCTCACCTCACCTCACCTCACCTCACCTCACCTCACCTCACCTCGCCCCAAATTACATCATGAAAAAATTAGCGACAATTAACGACAAGAACGACACGACTTCATTGTTTTGCGTTAAAACCAAACTCAATAGAAATGGTGAACACTTTAACTTTTTAATTTTTCATATCAATAATTATAATATTTTTTTATCACTTTTGCCATATTTTTCTGTATTCTAAGATTTATGGGAGTACGGTGTATATTCTTTATATTACATAATAGCGTCCCTGGTAACCTCAACATTGAGGTTGTCCCGGAACCTCGTCTAGTACAAATCAATATTCCTTCTTCTGGACCAACTCAAGAACCTCATAGACCACCCTCAAAGGCAGGTTAGCTGGTGACATAGCCGTCTATAGACGATGCCATGTTTACGGCCTGGAAAACTTGTTACTCCGATGACGATCGATTTTAAGGCTCTTTGACAACAATCAGCAAGGTAGTTTCTTTTTTCGCTACTACACCGGTGTGTTCACTAGGATCACACGATCACTTCAAAAAATCAATCAATATCCTGTGACGGTTCTTCCCGTGCTGAAGGCGACGCGGAGCGCCTCGATCGAGTACCTGTATTGGCATATCCAACATATCTATAGGGTACTTAGCTCGACACCTCAGTAGGTTAGGTACAGGAAGTATTTAGACTCGAGAATAACAACAGAAACACGAAAACTTTCTCGGCATCTATCGATCCCTTTCACGTGGGACGTTCCCGTACAACGTCGCCATAGTAACGGCGTCCTGGGGAATCGGCCATAGTCACGTGATTGTAGCTTTTACCTTGCAATGAGCTTTATAACTCTGTGACAGTCAACAGCGGAGGGTGTACATACTAAGAAACAGATATGAGTTTTTTAGGGAAAAAATCCAAGGACAAAAAAAGAGAGCGCGAACTCAAGCAAAAACTGGGTATCGACCAGAAGGTTCTTGAGGGTAAGTTCTCAATACTGACTAATTACTCCTACACCTGTCTCCTGCCTTATGTCAATCTTCTCACGCTGTTATAGTTCTTAAAGAGTCCTGTGTTGACATGCCATATTGTGGATACTGTCTTTTATTTAAATTCAAAAAGGTAATAAACTTGTGTTTCTTTATAGAAATATGACCAAACGCTTTCATTTCTGATTATGTAAATATCCTATTTCGTTTTTTTTACATGTCAGATTACCCAAATTATTTGTTTACATGACTTTACTCTGTTCATAAATAAGTGAGTACTTATAAAACGTATAGAAGAATTCCATATACTGGCACGTCGATCAGGGTATGATGGTGTGTTTGAATCACGTATACTGTGGTCGTGCTGTCTTGTACTTCTGGATTAGATACCTAATAGGAAATTAGACAATTCTTGTCACCAGTTAAGTACAACACTGGCGTGGGTAAACAGAACACTTGTGTTGTACCAGTGAACTACACATGCGGATCTAGTCTACACTTTTGTAAAAATGCACACCATGGAAAGCATACCCCACAAACAATTTATTTGTTGTCAACCGAAAGCCCTGTGAAGGCGATCGAATTATTCCCGATTGTGTTTCGATTGTTACTTTCCAATACCAGGAAGCAGGATGTTTTTTATTCCATTTTACGACAACAACAAAATATATTGATTCGTTTTAAAAACAAGTCATATGAGAAGTTATAGCTCAGGGGCCAATATAACGTCAATACTATAGAGAGAATAAGTTCTTGTATTATATGATTTCTAGCCACACAGTCATGTACATGAATGCTAAAAGTATTGGAGGTTTAAACATGGATTTCTCTGAAGGCTGTTGGTAAATAATATATTTGTTCCATACGACGTTAGACCCGAGTATGTAGTGTTGTCAAAGGCACAAACAGCACAACAGACAGACAGACAGTTTTATTCAGTAAGAAGGTCATAGCCCCATAATACAGACAATGGTTGATTGCATGAACTACGCATGCCAAGAAAGTAATCGATTTAAGTTTCTCTTAGCCGTTGGACTTTATATAGATATAAACAACAGTCCTACACGAACCTATACATGGAATACTGCTGAGTGCAAACCGGAAGTGCCGCCACCATCTAATTTTTTGCACGTGTGAGTAATTTGATTGGACGCCTCTTGTTAGCATCGTGTCATTCGTATCGGACTCGTTTGCGATTGTTTGTTGTTTAACGTCGCACTCGGCAATATTTCAGCTATATGACGGTGGTCTTTAAATAATCGAATCTGGACCAGACAATCCAGTGATTGATGTCATGAGCATCGATCTACACAGTTGGGATACGGTGACATGCATCAACTAAGTCACCGAGATTGACCACCCGATCCAGTTAGTCGCCTCTTACCACAAACATGGTCGTCTTTCACGGCAAGTATGGGTTGCTGAAGACCTATATCTTACCCCGGATCTTCACGGGGACGTGGTAGATTAAATCAGATGTAATACAGGGTATCAATGTTTCAAAGGTTAAACTGTTATAAACTGCCGGGCAAAAGAAAGTATACACTCGTAAACTGGATTTGACCAAAAGGTGAGTATGGGTTGCTGAAGACCTATATCTTACCCCGGATCTTCACGGGGACGTGGTAGATTAAATCAGATGTAATACAGGGTATCAATGTTTCAAAGGTTAAACTGTTATAAACTGCCGGGCAAAAGAAAGTATACACTTGTAAACTGGATTTGACCAAAAGGTGACAAACGTTAACAGAAAACTGTCGCCAAAAACTCCACACTTAAGGTCCAAAACACACCTTTGGTGTCCGTATCAAGTACATCACCTTCGAATAATCATTTCTTGTTTGTTTCATGTCTAGCCATGGCATTCGTGACCAACTCGTGTTATTCCGGGACAAGCCGAATAGCGACTCGTGCCCCTATCATGACCATTTTTGCGACCGGGTTCCGTCTTTGCGCAAACGGGCATACCTAAAACAATTGTCAACTCGTTGCTTAATGGTTCACATTTATTTCCCCATATATTATATATATTTCAGTTGCAATTTAAAGCACATCGGGATATGCGGAATTATACAGTATGATTGAACACATTTAACTGTGTCTTGGGTATATTTTTAGATGCAAGACATATGTAAAATAAAAAAATATTTCTGAGGGATTCATTGACGAAGAACTTAAAATCATACGCGCATTCTGATTGGTTTGTCGTATTTTCGCACATAACATTCATCGATAGGGGGACGAGTCTTCTTGCAGGTTACAGAAAGGGGCGAGTGGTGACGAATGCTAGCCATGGGTGTATACCTTCTTTTGCCCGGCAGACTAGTAGCGTTTTCATTTTATCCAGTTAAAAGATATGGACAACTATGTCTGTTATCCATATTTTGTACAGCTATTGTCCAGGTATTGCGTCGTTGTAAGGCTGTTGTTCTCCTTCTTGACCCAACCCTGGTCTGTTGTTGCGGGACAAACTATGTTAAAAGTATGAACATTTCTAAATTATATGTTTTCATTTTTTATTGTAGACCATTTATAAAAAAAGGTTTGTATTAATATTTGGATTTTTCAGAACCTTTGAAAAGTATTTCACCGTCATGTTTTTGATAACGTGTTTGACGTCATGTTCTCCATGGCAAACATAGCTTCACGCGTGTCACTTGGTTCGATAGTTAATGCCTGAAATAGCTATACATGAACAACATGTTGCCTTTTTCACACGTGCTTCAATCCATAATAGGGTTCATATTTCGTGAGACCAGCAGGTAGTTGTTCAGACGTACTGCCATCGAAGTATTCACTGCTGACGTACGACCATCAACGTCTTCACATTTGATGTACGACCATCGACGTCTTCACCTCTGACATACGACTATCGACGTCTGAACAATGAACATACGACCATCGAAGTATTCACTGCTGGCGTACGACCATCGACGTCTTCACATTTGACGTACGACCATCGACGTCTTCATATTTGACGTACGACCATCGACGTCTTCACATTTGATGTACGGCCATCGACGTCTTCACTTCTGACATACGACCATCGACGTCTTAACAATGAACATACGACCATCGACGTATTCACTGCGTACGTGCGACCATCGACGTCTTCACCTCTGACATACGACCATCGACGTCTGAACAATGAACATACGACCATCGACGTATTCACTGCGTACGTGCGACCATCGACGTCTTCACCTCTGACATACGACCATCGACGTCTTAACAATGAACATACGACCATCGATAAATTCACTGCGGACGTACGGCCATCGACATCTTCACCTCTGACATACGACCATCGACGTCTTAACAAAGAACATACGACCATCGCCGTATTCACTGCGGACGTACGACCATCGACGTACTTATCACGGACAAACGACCATCGACCTATTCACCGTTAACCTACGACCATCGACTTATTCACTTATACTGTGAAGTGGGCACGGGTGGCCCAGTCGTCTAAGGCGCCGCGATTCGCTGTGCAGAGTTGCGTCCCTTGGGCACGCCAGGAACCTATGATTGGAGGTTCGAATCCCGGTTCGCCCCGATTATGTTTCTAGGTTTGTCAGCACCATACCCGTGCTCGTGGGTTTCACTGAAGTGGTAAACGTCTGAGACCTGCATCACTTCGGGCTTTCCTCCCACATTAAGCTGACACGCCGCGATATGACTGGAATACTGTTAAAAGCGGCGTTGAATCCAACTCATTATACTGTGAAAAGTTACTCCCTTCAGTTGTCAGGATTGGTCGTGGGTGTGATCGGTTTGGGTCCATTACTATTCCTTGCGTATCGGGGTCAAAGTGCCCAAGACCTGCAACCTTCTCTCTCATCTAAATATGTCACGGAGTCGCCTCTATGTAACTGAATAACTGGTCCTATTCAAAGCAGCGTTGAATCCATCTCGTGTACTTACGCACTATTTTAGAAATAACATAGGTCAAGTCCATCGCTAACGTATTGGATCTAAACATTTGGGCCATTGTTTAAATTGGCCAGATGTTTATTAAAACATATACCTTGATGAATCGAACCGAGGTAAGGCTTGTCACAGATGGAGGTTTAAGAATCGGTGCTCGTACTTTACAGGAATTCAATGTAAAGATTAAATTCTCATTTAACAGCTGATAGTACCATTCCTCTCCCTGCCACACCATCGAGCGTCGACTCAGTGAGTTTTAATTGTGTTACTTGTTTTGTGGCCTTGAGGCAAAACACATCCACTTGTGAATCGTTCCTCCAACCCGACAGTGTGTGTTGCCACGCAGACCCCTACCTGGTTCAACCTTGAGGGAACCGTTAGCTCGCAGTTAGCAGTTCAGAATCAATATATTTTAGATATTTCAAAGGAAGAACTTCGTAGTTCAAAACATACTCGAGACAAAATGTAAATAATGCGTCTCGAAGCAACAAAATAAGCCGTGCAAAGATGTAGTGTGGGCGAGAGTTACACTCCGTCGTAATGGAGTTGCAGAAAAGTAGAAGCGCCGCCCTGGAGGAGACATATGCAGCGTGTATGGTGGTTTGATGCCTGTGGTGTGGACATGTGCTGCGTGTGGTGTGGTGATATGATGCGTGTGGTGTGGACATGTGCTGCGTGAGGTGTGGACATGCGCTGCGTGTGGTGTGGTGATATGATGCGTGTGGTGTGGACATGTGCTGCGTGAGGTGTGGACATGCGCTGCGTGTGGTGTGGTGATATGATGCGTGTGGTGTGGACAAGTGCTGCGTGAGGTAAGGACATGTGCTGCGTGTGGTGTGGACATGTGCTGCGTGTGGTGTGGTGATATGATGCGTGTGGTGTGGACATGTGCTGCGTGAGGTGTGGACATGCGCTGCGTGTGGTGTGGTGATATGATGCGTGTGGTGTGGACATGTGCTGCGTGAGGTGTGGACATGTGCTGCGTGTGGTGTGGTGATATGATGCGTGTGGTGTGGACAAGTGCTGCGTGAGGTGTGGACTTGTGCTGCGTGAGGTAAGGA